CCTTTTCGGCATGAAATTCGCACACAATCATTTCCCTCATCAAAGCCACGAAAGCTCTGCCTGAATGATGGGCGAAATTTTATGTGCCAACTTTCGCTCCTGGAAAAGCAATGGTACAATGGCAAAAAGAGCAAATTGTAGATTATTCGATTAATTCTATTTAGTTTACACAATGCCATTACCATTTAACACTATTTGGTTGGCAAAATTTCTCCGTCTGGAGTCATGTTTTCGCAGTGTATTTGCATGGGGCGAGAAAATGGCAGTAAAATTCACGAGCACCCCTATCGCGATGATATAAATTCAGCTCGTAAAATTATATAATAAATTATCCATGTATCTAGCGAGATGGTTTTAAACTAATCCGTCTCAGATTACATTCCACTCATGTCATCCACCAGCGCACACGAGGAAATTCTCCCAAATTCATTTTCCGCACACAATTTCCACGGGAGAAGCCAGAGCTTTGGGAAGAAACTTTTTGGAGGACGATGCGCATAATGCCTGCGAGCTTTGACTTTGTCTCAAAGTACACACAGAACACGTGTATCACTTTCATTTGTACATGATTTAATTGCATGCCTGAGAAACTTCACACCGAAATTATTCCCTGCGCCGCAGAAAATTGCCATGGAGGAGTATTTTTGTCGGCACGGGAAAAGGACACAAAAAAAGCTCTGTCAAAGTTTTAGCCCACAATGAGCGGAAGGTGCTGCCCAAAAATAGGAAAATCATTAATCTCTTGAGAAATTTTCAGCACTTCGGCTGCACAATGGAGACTTATTGGGTGTGATCGCTTGGTTAAAGTTTTGACAGCACGTCAGTCACTCTGCTCGCTTCTTTCGCCCGCCCTCAGTGACTTTAATCACTCCGGAGAGCCACGGTCGCTGTGGTGAAAAATTGAGATGATGTCCTGCAGATAAATTCCCCAGGAGATGTCCGATGGATTTATTGAATTGGCCCAGCGAGGGGCGCCCAGGAAGAGGCGAGGAAGATGAACATGGGAGAGCAACAATGTGCGCCGAAAGCAATTAACCAGTATTACACTAATTACCGACCACATAGAGAGGATTTTCCGTCATGCCTTGCCTCTGGCCCTCATCCGCGCTGTCATGAGGAGGATAAATACCAGTGAAAATGTGAAATAATACGGCTCCAATTTCCATGCCCCAAATCCACCCCGATAGACATTACAAGAAAGCTGGCGATGGAAAAAGAAAGTCTAAGAGGGAAAAAGTTAGAGCACGGAAAGGAAAGGAAAACTGACGGGAAATTTCATGAAAACGCGTGAGATAAATTGAATTCAATTTACATTTTAGCATCAAAAAGTTGATCCGCGAGCTTCACTGGAAATTATTAAGTTAATTATTTTGAAATTAACTCTTCATCTCATCAGAATAGAGATTCTCAGAGATTCTTCAATATACGAAAGCTGAATTTAATATGTGCCAAAATACGAAGAAAAGGCAGAATTGCTATTGATTTACTTTAGAACTAACGAGCACAAACCTTACCAATCCACTCGTATTTATGCCTTTTATATCGAACTTCGAGACATCGAACCGTGCAAAAGCTTCTCACAATGTCACTTGCAGTGAGAAATTCTATGATAAATCTTTCTCTGGGCTTCTCAGAGAAAGTGGAGGACAAAAGGCACGAGTCCTGGCCATTGGAGTGTTCGAGAGTGGCCGCAAAAAAAACTCTCAAAGTGTCCTGAGATGGATTTTTCTTGGCAAAATCAATGGGGTTTGGTGTGAAAGGGGGCGTAAAAAGCTCATGAGCATCTGCATGAATATTTGATGAAGGAGCTAAATGCTTTTTATACCCAATGATTGCGTGTTTTTATGTCCAACATGGGCAGTGTTGGCCTTTTTTCCATGCCTCCCAGCGAATATTTCAACGAGAGTGGAATGCTGAATGGTGCGCGATAGCATTGGAAGAGGCGAAATTTACTGCTGTGCTCGGGTCAGGGAGTTAATTACACCTAAATTAAATATTAGCCACAGTGGAGATGCTCCCGGAAGACAGTGCCAATGGGTGTTCCATGAGATGCCAAGAGGCCGGGGAGATCCTGATCGATAATGTGCTTTTTCGGGAACCGACAAAACATCATCATCTCAGGCTGTGAATGCTCAAAAAGACATGCCACCTCGTAACTTCGAGGTCGGAATTGATGCTAAAAGCTTCTCACTGATGCGTAATTCTATACTCGAGATAATTACGACAAGATATACATTAAATAGCGGATATTCCAGCGGACCATGTAAAGTCCAGCACGGAATTCCGAGCAGTTTTTGGGGCGAAAAGATATTTTATGGAGTGTGTCTTTGTCATGTGCCAAATTGATTTTCTCACCTACCGAAGAATGCATTGAAATTAATTTGTATTCCATCCCCATTAATTTTTCGCATGCACTCCAGTGGGTGAACACGGTAAATCGCCACTGAGTATACACATGGCATTTATCCTCATCTGATAATGTGTTCGCATATAAAATTTATTAATTGATCTGGCGCTATAAATTTCATGTATGCAAATCCTGATGCAAATTGAATTTATATTGATTATCTGTCGTCCAAATGGGCGGAGGGCGCGCAGATTATTAATGAAAACTCTATTTGATATTCAGAACAATTTTTCCCACGTACAGTCGCTATGATTTACAACTCATTTCGAAGTCTTTTTTTTTGTTCCTGTTCAAAATGCTCAACAGAGTTGCAAAGTAGTGATGGAAATCCAGATAAAACTGTGCAAAAAACATATCCTCGATGACGGCGATTCCATTTAGAGACAGTCTCTCGTCATAATTAACGTGCGCAAGAACAAACGGAGTGCTTCCTATTGAGATAAGGCAGTTAATAACAGCACATGAAAAATGAATCAGTTTCTTCGTGAAAATTAATTAATTATAAAACAAGAGGGAATTAAGTGCCTCTCACACGGGTGGGGAGCAAATTTATTCTGACGTTTGTACATTCTCGAGTGTGTGTTAGAAGAAGAGTGTGTATTTTGGCCCATGGCGCTCTTCTTCTTTTTACACCCAACATCTCTCGCCCCTCAGCATCGTGCGCCATACAATTCAGTGAACCGTTGACCCGTGCAAAATCCATTAATAATTGCCTCATTGTCCAGGCGAACAAAGTGCCCGTGACACATTCTTGAGAACATAAATCCTCCGCACATGAAATTCAACGAAACAAACAATCCCACTTCTTGGAGGATCCTCGAGTCACATGTGAGGGCGAAATGGTTATGCGATTATAATTCTAGGGTGGAGAGATACTTCGGCATACACTATATACCTTCCCCGAGCCACTGGCTTGCGTAATTACTTTCCATTCTGCCTCTGTGGCTTTGCACATGTCTCGCAGTTTCTAAGACACCGCCCCGCCTCGCCCCGTTCCCGTCCTGAGGGCTCTAATGAAAATTTCCTTTGACACATGAAAGAAAAGATTCGTCTTGTTTTGTGCACACGCATACACGCACGCTGATTCACTCTTTTTCTCTACCTTTGACGCAAATCTTACCATTAATATGGATGTGACATCATTAAATCTATTTGTTTCATTTCGTGCCTCGTGGGAAGTGGCTTTGATGGGAAATGAAACGGATATTATTACAATATTGATTGAAAATATAATTACTAAAAATGTCTTTGATGAGCAGTTTTAATCAGAATTTACTCACATTTTAAATTTATATATTGCATTTCTGCATATACTTGATATCTTTATGGCCAGTGGACAAAGTTACAGACTGTAAATTTCTGACGAATTCGCTGTTTGCTTGAATGATATCCACTGGCTGAGAGTTCCACGCTGAAAATCCGTGAACGAAGAAGTCACCGTGAAATCTCAAAACACTCCCAAGGCAAATATACTATCTTAAGAGCCCAGCCAGTGTGGCATAGAACAAATAGAGTTTGCAGAGAATCGACTCGCCGCCACTTGAGGCCACTTCGCAATTATGTAGATTGCGAGAGAATGGATTACCAAACTGAAGCAATGTGCGCGAGGTTCTTTGCAAAGCACGCCTTGGCGGAGGAGTAAAAAATTAATTGTTCATTTTTGCTAAAAGTTAATCTTGTTTCTTCTGCTTGGCCTCACTTCATTGCTCATCTGCAGAGCCTCTCAATGCGGCGCAGACTGTAAAAATTGATAGCCGCCGTGATTTCGGTGTGTGAACGCCAGCAATCAATCCCTCCTCTGGAATGGCGCGAGAAGACGAGACGATCGTAAAAAGCCCGCGTTTTTCGATGTGAGAGTGTCATGTCGCGGCATCTCCCAATAAATCAGGCGAGAATATGTGCATCGACGCGATGTCATGTGGAGGGAATGTCTCTTGTGCATTTCGAGGATCTGCGCGGGTGAGATAAACTCGAGATTGTGCGATGATGTCAACATTATTTATTCATATTTGCGAGTCTGCCGAACATCAGATATTCCCCTCACCATGTGATACCGCGCGATTATATTATTTATTCATCACAATCGATACTTGTCGACAAATCTCAACGCGAGAGACACGAAGGGTGTGTGACTCACACCAAGCGTGATCGAGTGGCTCATCTTCGCAGAAGCTCAGGTGTTTTGCATGACGTCCCGGGTCAAGAGATGCAAGGTCGGTGTCGATGTTTTGCTCACCGGCGCGCTTGCACGCTCATTAAACACATCATCGATGAGTTCACAACTCAACACGTCTTCAACACTGTCCGCAAAGGGGCAGAAGCAGTCACAATCGTCCATGCTGGATGACAAATCTGCGGTTAATCTAGTGTTAAAACAGCAGTGTTGTTCGTCAGGCGGCTAAAACTTTAATAGTTCCTCGCATATTTCATGAAACATTGAAACCTCCAGTCGGAAAGCTCGTGAGACTGTACGCGTGATTTTTTGCCGGACTCGCGCTCTGTTCCGAGCCGCTGTGTTTACGAGCAATTCACCGAGGTGAGGATGACGGTAAAAAGTGCTGAGAATTTTTCATTGTGCGCCAATGGAAAGGGAGGGAGAGTCAGTGTCTACAGAGATGATGCTGATGGCGAAAAAAGCCGCCAATTGATTAAATTGATTCGTACTCAGCGAAAAGTGAGCAGTCTTGTCGTGAGTGCAGAGCTTGGTGGACCTCCAATTAATTGCCGTGAGGAGGAGAGTAAATAAGTGAATGTCACCAGTGAGTTTGTCCAAGATATCGTTTGCAGTGGTCTGACTTGAGAGGTGTTTCGCCCTCGTGGAATATTTATCACTTTGTGGTGCTCCCAAAGCAAAATGCAGACTCTCGGAAAAGTGGTAAAAAGCTGGAACTCGCAACTTCCCATGTGCACTAAAAATAATTTATGGAAATTGAATTTTTCACTGCATACATTTCACAAGAATGCACATCCAGAGTTGGAGAAACACTAGAAGTGACCGTGAAAGCTTCTCAAAAACTTGTGAAATGCCATTTCGCAAATATTTGAGTATGAGATAATAATGCAGGAGATTTTCAAAGAAATTCCCAATCGTGCGACTGATTGCAAAGCAAATTAGTTGAGTAAATTGTTTGTTTACGAAATACTCGGCTAATTTAGGCAGAGGTTAATAAATTTGTGGTAATCACACAAATTTTGCGGAATAAAAAACACCAAATTATATGCAAAACACTGACCTTAGCGCAGTTTAGAGTTGTGTTAAGTGAATAATTCTTGATAAAGTGCCTAAAAAGTCTTGATTGTTCACAATCATGAGCCTTGAATTGAGATTATAGAGTAGATATTTAACCTTCCCGTGTTTTTGTCCCTCAGTTGAGAAGCTTTCATCGCAAACATCAAGCTATCTCTAATCTCTGTTCTAACGTCTCGTCAACTCCGCAACTCCCATGTTCACAGATAGTGCCTCTCGTGCTCTTTGTCTTCATCCGGGAAAACATTGCCGCCCCCACGCCAGGAGTGGAATCGGACTCTCCACTGCAGGTAATCACCATCCTGTCTCCTGAGTCAGCCAGAGATGTCACGCACAGGACTGACCGCAAATTCCGGGAAGAGGATCTTCCGCCGGAGAAGGACTCTTCGGAGATCGTTGTGATTCAACCTCTGGCGTCTGGATATCATCCCCAAGATCGTCACCTCCGGATGCTGGGTGTCTCGCCGCGCGTTCCCGTGCACTTCGCTCCCGGTGCTTATCCCATTTTCTACACCCTCGCGCGGGCCAATGGCGCCTTCACCGGCAGGAACATCCGCGCCCTGCCAAAGGACGAGATCGACAACTACCTCCACTCGTAGTGGACCCACCCACCATTTATTTATTTCACCGACTTCCTGGCCAGAGAGTTGTGGCAACGTGGAGAGCAACTCAAAGTGAAACCAATGAAGCAATAAACGAGAATTTCGATTAGATAATCCACTATATTCCTTTCAATCTTCATCTTTCACTGATGTTTCCACTTTGGTGGCTGTGTGACGCCCTCCCTGCCATCAATTGCGCTATACTACCCTCACTAGTTGATTATATATTCAGCATCAACTGTATTGTCCCATTTCCCTCGATTCCATTTATCTCAATTCGCCCTCATCCCCGTGATATAACCGCGCATTCAGCGCTCTTATTCTAACAAGGAAATTCTGTGAAAGAATCGAAATATTTCCCCACAGTTTATACCTCATTCAATGTGACTTTTTCAAATGTGTTCCAATCGCCACAAAAAAATTCATACGGATTTTTGACATTTTCTGTTGCGTATTTGTTAAGAAACACGTGTGAGAATTTCTATTAACTAGAAAATGCATTGAATGCACATAGTTTTTCCCTATCATACGCGCATTCGATTCAATTGATTGAATACAAACAATCAGCAGATGTAATAATATCCACAATATGATATATAATACTTAATAAATTGAATATGTTAATTATAATCAGGTTTTATTGCTTGCCTACGGGAAAATATGAAAATATAAAATTCCAGGAATTTGCGTTCGGTGAATTTTCCAATTGAATGAAATATTTGAAATTTCACTCAAAATTTCAGCACTTCTTCAAAGCCTCGATAGAAACTAATGCTCTACGGAGATGAAACGAAAATATGTATAAGTATTCCAATGTCACAATGCAAGTTGTCTGGGACTGGTTGAGCGAACGGAAGAACGACGATGGATGTATTTTCATTTTGGGGTATTGTTAAAGTTTTTTTATGGCAAGAAATGCTGATTCTTTGTCGGTGAATGTCACTCAAAGCTCTCCACCTACCATTGAGGAAATACCAAGAAAGACTTGTAAGTAGGAGAGATAGGAGAGAACGCCCCATTATACAATTTCACTTTATGAAACAGTCTGTTGTCTCGTCACTGGTGGATGGAGCATAAAAATAAAATGATTTATTTTATTAATGGGCATCAGAGAAAAACTCCCCCATTATTTTTCCTCATCGCTCTGTCGAGAGTGGCAGAGTCTTTTCGAAGAGTGCGCAGAGATTCCTCTGCTGTGAGTCATGGAATATTGAGGAATTCTTTGATTCATCTTTGGTTGATTTAATTGGGAGATACATGCCCATATAACGAAACGAAGAGTATTTGCGCACATCAGCAAAATGCGTGGAGATGAAAGTGGATCCATGGCATATTCAATGGCACAGTGAATTATTTATTCATGGAAATCATTCTGGGAAAAGTATAAAGTTTCCCGGAAAGGATATCACATATCCTTCAGCGTGTGCTGTCGCCTCCTGCACAATTTATTATTCATTCGATCCACGACGAATTGGGAGAGTTTGTCTTTGTGGAGAAAGAGTTGAGAGAAATGCGATATTCTCCAGAGGCATCAGCTTAATTGAAAAATCCCCGAGAGAGTGTTTTCACGTTCTTGCTCGCCCGGGGAAGAAACATCGCGCGGTGCCGGAAAATGGTTAATATTCATATCCAGTGACCCCGAATGTCTGTGTTTTAGTGGCTTGATATTTGATTTTCACTATCGATTTCACTTAAACATGACATAAATCAACTCCTTTTCCTCCACACAAATTCACCAGCGATTTCGTTTTTGCTCTCTGGATGAACGAGTGGTTGGAGGAGGAAAACAAGAATTTCATCCGCATGAACTTTTTCATGCCACGATACCCATCCATTTTATTTTCCGATGGGCTTCACGCCGAAGCCCCCCCCCCCCCCAAAAACCCCACCGAAAGCCCCGCACTGTATCGACTATTAGTGCGAGAAAGTGTGTGGCAAAGTTTCCTCACCCACTGTAAACTTTATCGATATATTTTCTTCATGGACTCTGCCTTGAATTGCGAAGGGCATCCTCAGGACGGGGCGAACAAGCATTGCAATTTGCTCAGGAGCACAACATAAAATATGTGAGGGGCGGCGGTGAGAAATGGGGCACCAGGCGCCCTCATGCCCAGTGACAAATTCCACCTCATTGAGATGTGAAATGTGTGAAAGTGTATTACTCATTTGGAGGATAAATTGCCGTGTGATTGCCAAGGAGTGGATTTCTTTTCTCCCGCACCGCAATGATTTACGGCATGACGAGGAAATTTCATGGGCCTTCCGCGCGTCCACTTGGGGTGGATTTCGCACTATTCGTCATGTTTCGAATTAACTCAAAAGGACGAACTTTACATCCCTTCCCACAATAACATTGAATTTCTCCTTCATTGCAGCTGTCTGCCTCAAGAACGTGAAGATCACCGTTCCCGAAGCCGTTGCAGTGGGTGACACCGTGACCTTGTCGTGCCACTACGACCTCGAGGCCGTGAGTAGAGTCGCGTGAAAGCACGCCAGATGCCGGAAAGTTCCTTAATCCAATAAACTGTCTCCGCAGGATGCACTCTACTTAATTCGATGGTATCTTGACTCCGAGGAGTTCTACCGCTACGTCCCGAAAGAAGAGCCCCCGGCGCGTGTCTTCGAGATTTCCGGCATCTCCGTGAATGTGAGTAGGGTGAAATGAGTAGAACATGAGCATAAATTCACGCACAAGCTGTGGAGAATGTTCACACACTCTCTCTCGAGAGGGTGGAATATTCATGGGGTGCGCGCTGTATGGAAACATGGGCCATCCAGAGGCTCAAGAGCGGCTCTTGCACACCGAGAGATGATTAAATGGATTCTGGCGTGGTGAAAAGAAATATTTGCAATTTAGAAACAAAACAGTATATACATGTGAATCTCCTCAGTCAAATTACTCACTCGAGATGCTCGTAAAAATGCACGCAAACTCGAGATTACGAGCCGAAGAATTTTTCACGGAACTTTCCATCACACTTTCAGCGCTATAATTCGCCATGGCGCTGAGTTCAAAACGCGCCCCGGCGGCTGCCATGTCTGAAAATCCGTAGCTGGGGACACGCAGCGGATAAATCCACCCTATGCCATGATGAGGTTCTCATTTATGAGCTTTTTGGGGGATTTTAGCGCTGAATTTTCCCAAGTCTCTCGTGGCGTGAGGAGAGAATTTTACGCAAGGCGTCTGCCATGCTCGTGCGTTTTATATTTTCATAAATTTGGACAAAAGAGCCAGAATCGAGAGATGAGACGCGCAAATAAAAGTGTTTATGGTGAAGACTCTCCACCAGAATGAATGCAGTGTCTATAATTCCGTTCATTCGATTAAATCTTTGCCAGTTTTTTTCACATAGCCGCAAAGACACATTTCTGGTGTGAGATCTCTGCATTCACAGCGAAATCCGGACACTCTTCATGCGTCTCTCTCCACAATTTTCATACCCATAAAAATGCAAATGAGCGTCAAACAGAATTTTCCATTCTCACACTTTCCCGCCCAAAAAACGCCGGGCTTTTGGGGCGAAGGGAGTGACTGATGCAATTCTGGACACTGAGCTTTTGCCGCTTGGCTGCATCTTTTGGCACACAAACACTTGAGAACTCATCCGCGGAAAGCAATTTATTACCCAAAGAGAGTCATTGGGACATAATTTTGAGACATCTTCTTTCCCACTGCAGTTTCAAATGAATTTTTACATCAATCCTCGAGAATGATGAACTGCTCCATGTTGAAATGCATGGCGCAGAGAATTTATTGAGACTGATAAAATAGTCACAAAAGAAGAGTGTTGCCAGTCTAGTTTAAGTCTTTCTAAAGTTGCATTGTGACTTAACGACGCATTAATCAAAAAGTCCAATTTCATCTGCTCACTATTCGATTTCGATTATCTTTTATGCAAATGAAAGATTTTGTTATCTTCACAAAATCCTCTGCACATTCAAAGTTTGTCCGATGAATGAAAAAGTATTTAGCGTTTTCCAAATTCATGCACTATGGCTTTTCATAGACAGTGACAAAGTGTCGCTCTGCAGTAACACAGTTTCTGTATTCGGTCTGCAATCGTACTTATCACCACATGAGATTGCAGAGAATGGGGGAATTACAAAATGCAGAAATTAATAAATGCTGTTGCATTCTAAATGACCAGAGAGAGCTCTTCCGCCGAGGGGTCACACAACTCCATTAAAGGCCGTGGCGGGAGTGCGGCAGACACTCAACTTTGAGTGGATGATGTTGAAAAAGTTTTAGCAGCTTTGCATTCTGTGTGCAATGGTGTGGTCGCAATGTTGGTCACTGTGCTGAGGAGTGGAAATACAGAAAGCTCTCTGCACATGCAATTCATTTCAATGAATATTCATATTTACAGCTTTTCTAGGGTGAGATGGGAAAAATTGCAGAGTAAATGCGAGGAAATTCACCTATGCACTACATTAAATTAAATTTACAGTCATCCTAGGTCATTTTTTCCTCCTGCCCAATAACACACAATCAATGTTGCCATTTTGTGCATCAGCTTTTAGTTTTAACTACTCTGAACAGTGTGGAAGAGTGAGAGAAAGAGAGATGAAAGCCAAAATTGTGTTTATGCCATAGAATTCAAGTAGATAAAGAGAAGGGTAAAATTCAATTCAATGCCGGGTCAAAAGTCAAAGTGTGAATATGCATTTACACTTCCACAGTATAATGATTTTTTTCCCCAACAGAGAGAACTCGAGTTCCACATTTTCCACGATCTTATGCAAAAGTCACATTATATTCAATTGCAAAAGCTCTTAAGGGAATTGCGCGCGCTCTTGTAAAACCTTGAGCATTCCTCCACAATTCGTCCCATTAATCACATCTCTCAAGCCCCTTCTTTGTCACTCTTTCTCTCCCTTTAGCCAAAACACCCCACGAGGAATGCTAATGTCTCAATTGCACCAGTTTTTCACCCCTTGCAGCTAAAATCCCCCACTGTGACGGAATGAAAAAGCGCTCTCGCCTGTGCGTCATACGTATTCAAAATTAAAATAATAATTTTTATTGTGACAATTCCTCCAGAGGAATTGTTCCAAACACGAACGACAGCAGAATGTTTCCTAAGCGAAAAACTCCATTTTAATTATGCAAATTAGGCACCAAAAATTACTCCAGAATTTATCGCCATCCATTTGGGGAGCAGCATTTTTTTGGGTCTCCCCAGCATCTTTAAGTTTGCGAAATTAATGTTGAGATATTGAGATGGAATTCGAGCGACAAATTGGAAGGAAGCAATTGCCTTTTTCCACACCCTCGCATTTCTGCTGAAAGGATAGATTGTGGAGGGTTTTGCAAGTGTTTCCAGGCGTCACTGATTAATTACCAAACTTCCCACTCGAATGACATTTAAAAGTGGAAAGCTCCGGATGTCATTGAGCTTTTCACATTGCACTGAAGGATCAGCACATTGACTCAGACGCTGCAAAATTTGTCTTATTAATTGATTGTGTGGAGAGAATTCAAGGAGCTTTGCCAATCAATAGATAGAAGCTCTTTGAAGTTGACTCATATTACTTAACCGCCACTCTTCCGGCCACAAAACTCACATGAGCCACTCATTCTCACTTCGTCCGCAGATTAACAAGTCCAATGCCAATCTCGTGACACTGAGGAGCGTGACGAGGAACCAGACGGGCACGTACCAGTGCGAAGTGTCGGCAGATGCGCCCTCCTTTCACACCGAAACTGCCCAGGCCACGATGCTGGTGGCCGTGTTGCCGGAAGCCCAGCCCTCGATGACGGTGAATGGATTGCGTGTGCTCAACAACAAGATCCTGGTGCGGATGGATGAGAGCCTGAAGATGATTTGCACGTCCAGTCCATCATATCCGCCTGTCAATTTCACATGGAGCATCAATGGCATTCCCCATTCGGTGAGACAACATTCTTTTCATCTGTACACAATTCTTCCCAATGATTGACTTCTGTCGACAATCATTGGCGGTTGTGAGAGAGAAATTCCGCAACAGAGTTGCAACAGCAGATTGAAGATTACAGTTTTGCAGACTGTTGCAAGTTTATGCCGGTCTTTGCTAGACTGTTTTGTGGATTTTTGCCACTTTGAGCACTCTTTCCCTCCTCTGCAATTCGCCCGAATCTTATCTGCTAAGCCACTAATATCTCAACTCTGACCTTTTCAGTCCACTCACACGGGCTTCCACAGCGTCAACGGTGGTCAATCGTGGGAGACACGCGAAGCCTGGTCAGAACTAGTCATTCACATCAACTACAACCTCGTGTCGCCCTACACTAGACGCCTAATCGTGCGCTGCGAAACCAACATCTACACACTGTGAGGATTATTTACCGCCCCCCAAGTTTCCACTCATGCAAATTTTCCACCCCCTTTTGCAGATATCGCGGTGCAGCTGTCGTGGAGCTGGACTTGATGGAGGATAATCCGTGGTCTTTCGGCGAGAAAGTTAGTCCCACGATGGATCAACGGAGCGGAAGTGGCAAGGGCGGTGATCCGGACAACTCGGCACTCACCGGAAGTGCCATCCTCCTAGGTGGCTGTTACAAGTGTTTTATATTCAGGACAGTTGTTTGTTTTCTGGTGGTTGTGTTAATGTTTTCATAAATCTTCACCCCCCAAAAAACCCACCAAGTCCTTCTCATCCACATCCTGCAGCATTTTGGCGGAAATTTCATTTTTCACCATACACATATACAGAATGGAAGCTCTCCCAGATGAGTCTTCTCGTATATGGCTGAGTGAAAAAAATACCAGGGAATAATTTATTTTACATTTTAGAAATAGAGGGCAGAAAGAGAAAATTTTACAGGGCGCACCCACAAAATGTCGCATTCACGATATATTATTGAGAAAAGATGTGAAAGAGTGTTTAAAGTGTGCGACTCACTTTACATCCCAGATCTGTAGGGAAACACAGAGTGCTGAAGTTGAGAAAAAAAGCTCTCAGAGATAGGAAAATTCGTTATGCAAAACCTAATGAGATTGTAAAACAATTAAGCCGCTTTAAGAGAGGTTATTTAGTGAGGAAAAGATATTCAATGATAACACAGAGAAGAAAATGTACAGTAGTGACACACATAAGAGGCATAAAACAATTAACAAAACTCCGATATTGACATTCCCCATGTAAATAGGACAGTATACATAAAGTATAAGCAAATGATAAAAGACTTAAGTGTGTATGTATAGGCGAAGGGTGGATGGATATTATGAAGAAATGTAGAGGAAAATCGTGACACAATAAATTTTGAAAAATTACACGCAAATTTTGGACCTTGTGCCGGGAAAATTGTATTGGTCTCACAACCATAGGAAAAAGGCATGCGCTGGTCCCGCGCGCTTCTCATCAGCATCTCATCATAAAAGCTCATCCAGCGCATAAACGCATTGCCTGTCTATAATGATGTATATGAGTGAGATGAAAATGTGTGCATCTCATTTACGAGAGTGCTTCATTTGATGATTCACTGCGCCTCTCCCTTGTGTACACTTTTCCTAATGGGGCCAGGATTATGTATTTTTCAGCGTCTTTTGCCGCCAAGATGACACACGAGAAGCCCTTAGTTGCGCACCTGCAGCGCCAAAGAGGCACATTATTGCGAGTTAACAAAGTGAAAATGCTCATTACGCTTTTCAAGCCAGCATGAAAATTCATACGGGCTTTTTTTCAACATCCACACCCCTTGTTAAGCTTCTTCCCTAGCACAAATATTATTTGAGCTTTTTCTCTTCCCTACATCGTGATTTGGACTTTTTTCCACACGTGCCTCGTCTCATCAATTGAATGTCTTTCACGAGAGCATGACTGGATGTGTTTCTTGCTGTTCATGTCGCATCTGACAATGAGAGCTAAAAATACACACCTTTGAGAAATTGGTGACATTCTTACCGTTTAGAGCTGAAGAATTTTGCGAATTTGTTGCCGACAGAATGTGTAATAATAAGTGTGGCAAAACATGTATGTTGTGTGGCATATTGAAAAAAAATCATATTTGCAGTATTTTCAAGTGAAAAGATAAATTCAAGTCTTATCTACACTCTAAATTGCATAAATGAAATGCTCCTTTAAATCTGAGATCAACAATTAACATACCGAGTGAGAATCTCAGCAATGAATTTCCCAAAAGAGCTTTTCACAGCGCCACGAATTATTCATGGCGAAACAGTTGCGAGCTGAAATTGTCTTGTGAGTCACAAAAGTCAATGGGAAAGTTGGCATGAGGATGTGCAATTGTCAATAGAGACGGCAAAGAAGTGGGTGAATCAAACCGTTTGAAAAGTGAGCTTCCGTTTGGAGTCTTTTTAGAAAATCACTTCCTCTCAGCTTTTGCTGCACAGCTCTCTTCGCCACCCATACATTCATAACGAACCCAGCGAGACGGGGCGAAAGTTCAAAAATGCTGCCAATTGCTCGTCTTTTGTTTACTTGCCACCGTTGTTGCGGTGATTGCGCAATAATTTGAACGTCAGAGCGGAACCGGAAGTGACAGTGAGGCAGAAGGAAGAGCAAACAACTCGTTCAACATCCTTTCGGATCAACAATTCTTCTGGCGCAATGGGAAACAGGAACTCTTTGTATCATCTTCCATGATGGGTCATCTCACTCCTCACGATTGGGTGGAATATATCTCTCGCCGACAGGAGGAATGCCCCAAGAATGGCTGCGCGGTGAGTGGCGATCGTGTAATGAGGCAATGAATTAATATTTATGGGGAAAGGAACTGGCGAAAGGAATAATCAATGGATGAGAAAGAATTATGGTGGAAAATTGCGCTGGTTTTTGTTACAAATCCTTAACTACACACTTTCGCAGCTCTACGTTAGAGATTACGCTGAAAACCTTCCATGTTGAATGCGTTGACTCCACCTGGAGTATTTGTATTGGCATAAAATAGGAAGAGATATTCGGTGTACATTCGCAAATTCCCTGGCATTTCCGCCCTGTCAATGATATTTCACGTGAGTGTGCGTGGTGAAATTCTGCAGACTTGCAATTCAGCTGGGGATTTTCCTCCGGCCAGGATGCACAGAAACATCCGATGCGGCAGTGGACAAAAAAGCCAGAGGAAATAATCAATTGATGGCAAAAAATATGCCCCTCTTTCGCCATGCCAAACGAGATGGTGGCCATTCATTGAGATTTATGGAATCAAAGGAAAGGCGAGAGCCGAAGGGATGCAATTTTCGGACACGCCGGCTGATGATGCGCTCGACAATTCTCTCGCGTACAATGTGTAAGCGGATTGTGTCTTCCGCTGCAGGCAAATAACCTGAAAAACGGACGCACACGGCGAAAAAGCTTCTCCAGAAGTGTATCGCAGGCTGACGGATTTTACACGGGAAGGGAAAGAGAAAACCGAGAAAACAGTGGACGAGCGATGCAAGGGAATTTGCTGTGTGTGCATCCATTCAAATGGCATCGAGGAGAATCGAATTCATTGATGTGATTTGATGAGAAAGACGGATGGAAAAAGCCCCCGCATTGCCAAAGATACACAAAAGCAATTTCGGCACTCGAGACATGATGCAGACAATTCTGTGGTAAAGGACAAATTAAATTCCCTATTGAATTTCAGATGAAAGAACATTTTTCAGCAGGTAAAATCAATTATATTGCGAGACAATGCGCGCCATTCCTCCCCGTGAAAATGCTCTTGCAAGCATATTTTTGTGGATTTTATGAGAAAAGCAAAAGAAGCTTTCAAAGCTCCAAAGAATAACAAGCCCTCATGGGAGGTGGGACACTCGAAAAGACGGTCAGGATACGATTTTTTAAAATGTTTTTTAATGGTGTCACGGGACTTTTATTGCCTCTGTGGTTACACAAATAAAATCTTCGGCAAAGTGGTTTTCACATTTTTACGGTCAATATAAGGATGATCGTTCACTTTGCTCTATCATTCACTCCAAAGGGATATTCAGCGGGGAAAATCGCATGCCTTGGCGCACTCTTTCTATGCCAAATCAACCAATCTAAGACTTCGTCTGTATATAAACTTACTACCCTCTTTTGATCTCAGAGAAATTTGAGAGTCCCAGCGCGTGAATTTCATCCGAATTGTTTGAAAACACCGCACACTCGAGGAGGGAAATAAAAGAGGAAAATCAATACGTGACGGCAACATCTGTCATCATACAGTAAGTTAGTCACCCAATTTCACCCTCTGAATAAATTCTCTGGGAAAGATTTTGGGTGTAAAACACACACAGACTTTTCCTTCTCATGGTCGAATTTAATTCACTTTTCCGTGGACTTTTGTCGTTTTCCCCACGGGCCAAACATAAAAAGGGGCACCGAAAGATGTGAAATGGGAGAGAGAAACCTCATATTTCGCTGAAGGATGTCAGTTTGATATGTGGCCACACTTGTGCGATTGCCCAGAATTCAATTTCTTCCATTTCAGAAACAGAAAAAACTCCTCGAAAGCAAATTCCAGGTGAATCTGCAGCGACTGACATTCACTCCTTACTCAACATGTGCAAAATGTGTCACCAACTTGAGAGAAAATGGGTGTAAATTTATGCGATTGTTTTACAGAAAAGTGCCAAGCACTTTTCACACACCATGACAATTCTTTCTTCCGCTTGTCACTTCAAGTCGTGCAATCTTTATTATAAATAAGATTTTTCACAAACACTTCCGCGTATTAAATCATCAACATTTGCACGGTAGAGGCGGTAAAAATATTTAGAAATCAATGGATTATTGTTTATCAACACGTATTCAAAGTTTGCCATCAGGAACCAAACATTTCTGCTTCCATCCAGATAAATATCCATGCCAAATTGAAGATCACTAAACAGAGTGGGAACATTATCTTCTATTAAATGCGTGTTTGTATTCCAGCACGAGATCTTGTTGGTCAGCAAATGGGTGAAGATGAGAACCTCAGTATCAGCGTCATAAACCATATTGATCTCACTATCTGGCCCTAAGTATCCAATGTAAGCAAAATTTGGTTGTGTCTGATTTCTCAAAACCTCTGTCGATGTCTTGAAGAGCCCAAGACTCGATCCAGGAGCATAAAACACATCCCTGAAAATGCCATTAGTATTTTCCCCAAGTGTGATACCCAGAATGCCCAAATTGAAAGGATCTGCAGTTGAAATATCATTATATAGGTAAGTTTTTCCTGCGTTAGGCTTAAATGTATCGTGCTCGAAGTAATAAAATTTTCTTTTCACATTATCAAAAACGATAAGCCTATTATCCCTACTGTTCACGATGTATACATTGAACTGATTACAGCTTCCTACAGCATCTATCACACAATCGTAGAGTCCGGTAGCGTCGTTAACAATATTGTCCGGAATTGTGACTTTAAGCACCGGAGGTCTGTCTAAATCTTCATAATCACAACCTCTAATATCAAAGGCCCAAAGAACAGGGCGTCGGATAACGACATTTCCTTCTGGATACTCCAATAAACCCGTATCAATTGTAAAAAGCCGAGAGCACTTGGTAAATAAGTGACTGGTGTACATCGAAACGAAGTGGTAACTCTTCCTGGACTCTCCTTTCCTTCCACTGTGATCACTTTTCCCTCTATAAACAGGTGGATAAAGGTTGTTCTCGTAATCGTCTTCTTGGAGATCATCAACGCCGAACCAGCCCTGAATAGAAAATATTAAATCACAAAACGAACATCAAGTGCGAATATTTCTAATAGATTACCGGAAGGAAGTTGTCTTTGTAAGACGGAAATGCTTTGAGATAGGGAGAATATTGAAAACGATTGTCCTTTCGATTCACGAATGCAATTGTAGCTGGAACCCCAGGTGCTCTTCTTGGAATGGCGAAGAACAGACACCCACTTGGATCATGATGGGAAACAGCTGTTACAACAATACTGCTTCCATTGTAGTACTTATACCCTCCGATATTCGTATTTCCTACAGAATATTTATTACAATAATTTAGAAATATTATTGAGTGTGCGCAAATCACACTTTGTGACCTTTTGTCAATTACAGATCTGGAAATATCGACAAGACGAGAATTCTGAATACAGCACTTACGCAAGGGACGTGGCATTAGAGTAGGCGGAGCATCATAAACTAGTTATTCAACAGAGTTAAAGGAAAAATGTTCTTTCATTGCAGAACTTTATGGTGAAAACACAGCATTTGTAATTTGTAATTTGTCCACGATCATCTCTTTCTTCCCCACGCGTATCGTGTATTTTCCTTCCTACTCGCACAGTGGCTGTCTCGACATGTCAGAGTCAGACGCTGACAGAGTAGGAAGGAAAATACAC